CAGCCGAAAGTTGTATATCTTCCAGCAATGACCAGGCGATAGATAACTTACATCAAGTGGATTGTTGTCCTTGCTATCAACCTAAAACTATCACAACAGCTATCCAACGTCATGGGTGACACTGATAAATCTTCAAGATAACAAATCGCCGTCAGTAGACGCATTTCCTGCTGTACCTGTGAGCTTTCGGATAACTGCTGTAGAACCGCTTGATAAACAAAAATCAAAATCAACCCACGGTTCTGTGGTATTATCCGGTTCTGTAGCACCGATCCATAAAAGTTGGCACCTTGTTTAGCTTATGTAAAGTCACGTGGATGCGCCATTAATTCATCGAATCAAACCTCAGACACAGCAGTTCTTGTTCCTTTAACCCAGTGTCGACTTGGCACTACACACATGATAATACGCAAAGTCATTAGTGAATCTTTAGAGTAGAATACTTTACCAATCCCGTCAGCAAGGCGATCCAGCCATTCATTTAGCACTGAATTCACGAACGAGGGCGACCAACTAACCTTGAACTCCGTGGTCTGATTAACGGCAGTTCTCGGATGATTTGGCTTGTCTATCGGTAACTTGGTAGTTCAATTCTTTCATTTCAATACTCAAGTCGACTTCATTTTTGTCGGGAAATAGAGCACAGTAGCAGCATTTGGAGCAGCTTCCGCTTGCCCATGATCAGAGCTTTGGAGCTTCCTTCGGCAATGTGCGAACGCACCATCGTAGATGTAGTGCAGGAAGTCGTCCAGGGGGCGGATACAATGGTAAAGTTTTGCCAAAAATCTGCCTCAAGAGTCATGACCGCTAGTACCTGCTATCTCGCCCTCCAACTTTTGGGTATCGGCAATATTCAAACGAGTGCAAATCGTAGGCCCACTTGAGTCGCGACAGAAGTGGCTTCGAAACGAGACATTCATTGGACACGATGCTGCGATGAACCGCATGAAGTTCGTGTTCATGATGAATGTGCCGTCATAAGCACGGGGCATCGCTGGAAGTACATGCGAGAGTATCTACTGGTGTCGACTGGTTGCGAGTATCGATCATAAAGTAAAAGAGAACCACTCAGTTTTTATTCGTTGCAGTACCGGACAACCAATGCGCTGCAAAATACCATGAACCAGCACATCTTGATCGCCCTAGCGAACTGTTCTCTCGTGATTAAACCCTTGAGCACCAGTGGTGCTGCACCACGAACAGTGTTACTGGAACTTCTTGAACCAATTGAGCGTATGTATCACCGACCCTTTGCCAGCTATGAAAACACCATACATGCTCTGCATAAGAAAACTGTACTTGACGTGAACAACTGGAGCCACCAAATCATGGGGACAGCGAGAAACGCAACGTCGGACATTTTACCAAACGTCGAAGAGCAGATTGGTTTAGATTTCTCGACTATGCTTCGCGTCATCTTGCTTCTGCGTTCAATTGCTGTGCATGTTTTAACTGCCAACTTGGTCACTAGGAGCTGAAGACGGAATTGTTCTTTACCAGCTACCGCAGAATATTGGCGGAATTACGATATCGAAAGGCTTCTATTTGAAGAGGGGTTTCTATTGAAGTGGTGACGGTAGTGCGACACATCTTCTGTTCTTGCCGAGACGCAACAAAGTGAGGGAGGGGGCTGCAGCAAGACGATGGACACGCCAATGCGCTTACTGGTACTTCGAGGTACTGTTGTATTCGTTTGGCTCCATGATTCATTTCATATGTGATTCATCTTGCCAGATGTATGACCAGCAGTACACGTCTTCGCCTCTTGTTGGTCATTTTTGTAATCATAATGAATGAGTTTACCAACGCATTATTATTTGCCTCCCTCTGTACGAGCATTGTTGTGAAGTGAACATCTGTGCGTTCACCTTGGTTATTATTCATCTCCTATGCCGTTGCTGTGGATGTTACGAAGACGACCGAGCCTTTTGACGCGTCAGAAGGAACAACACCGCGGAAAAGACTGAATAGGGATGAATGTGAATCGACACTGAATAAGTTGCTCAAGTGGTGTATTGCGAGACTGATGTCCGAACATCAACTCTAGCGTCTATCGAATTCTCACTGGATTGGACCGTGATTTATGGCGTGCTGGCCAGTACTGTCTTCACTGGTACTAGAAGTA